TTCTTACACTAACAAGAAACATGAGACTTATGGAAATAAATAATATGGCATCTAACAGTGATATTCAAGATTTTGCTGACTGGATTATCTCAATTGGTGATGGGACTGTTGCTAGAGTTAATAAAGGATCCATGGATATTAAGATATATCCCAGCTAATTTGTTATTAGATGGTTCAGAAAATCCAATAAAGTCTATTGTTGACTCAACTTTCTCAAATTTCCTTAACAATGTCAATAATTCTTTATATTTTAGAGATAGGGCTATCTTAGCCTCTACATTGGCCATGCTTGAAGAAGTAAATAAGTACATATTATCCATGATCCTTGGAGAGGAAGTTGTATACTTGAGTTTTGATAGTGTTGTAAAAGATGATAGGGACATGAATCTGTAATACCCAGGAATTTTAAGTAAAATTTAAAATATATAATAATTAATTTTAATTGTATTTGTATTAATGTTGGAAATATTTAGACAAGAACGATTGTTGACCTAGTGGTAGTTGTGCTGTCAATTAACTCTTCAGGTCCCTAGTTCGAATCTGTCTTATGCAAAAGAGAAGTTTTATTTAATTTTGCTCTAGTGTTTAGGTGAAATTACAAGTTTACCCCTCGATAATTAAAAAAAATAGAGAGACAAAGATAAAAGCACGTCGGTTTCTTCCATTTTCATTTTTTTCATTTTCTTTGAAAGCTCCAGAATGAGCTAGCATGCCCTCAGCTCCTCTGATTTACCTCCTTTATTCCCCCACTGGTTGACGTCGGCTATTATGAACGAGAAGCCTTCCTTTCCTTCCTCTGTTTTTTTGCTACTTGAGAATGCGGGAGTTCTTCATTATCTCCCCTGTTTCGCATCACGAATTGATCAACTTGCCAGATCATCACTGTTGATAGGTGCGACAGCTCCGTCAGCTGCTGATGCAAAGTTTCCACAGTGAGCTTTTCTTTCTCTAGTCCTCATGGTTAGCTGTTTTTGTGTGCCACTGTTCATTTTTTTCCTCCTCCTTTCATGCTTCCCGTCTCTAATTTGGTTTAGGGGAGTCTAAAATTTTCTCGTTGTTTATGGCGTCCCAATTTAAGTGGCTATAGGAGGTCTGTTTTGATGGCTGTCATTTTTCTCCCTATATCTGCCTTTGTCCCTTCCTCCCTGTGCCTGCCAGTGTGAACAGAGGTAAAGAGATTTTGAGTCTACTTTTCTCTTATCATTTCTCTATGTGTGCGTGTGTGTATCTTAGGACTGAAGTGATGGAGCTTTAATTTTTCTGCTATTGTCAATTTTTGAATAAGGGTGAGAAGTTGATTCAAGATGAAATTTAATGTTGGAGGATATGGGATTTGGGAGGTTGTTTGATTTAAATGTTTATATTGAAAATCTTTAGGAAATGAAATCAAAGAGTAAGAAGTTTGGTTTGGGCTTAGAATTAGTTTATAGAAGGTGTTTGACATATGATGAGAAAACTTTACTGGGTTGTTATATTTTTTAAATTTCATTGATCATTGCAATTAGTATGTTATTTTGAATGCTATTACTCTATAAACTTACAATGAAGATTGTAAGGAAATTTGAGCATGACATTTGTTTAGGCAATTTTGAAATCATGGAAATAAATGATTGTTGATGAACTATGTGATAAGAGATGTGAATGTTAAATAAAATAATAATAATAAAAAGGAAAAGAAGCCTTATTGTGGAATATTAGAAGTAATGTAGTTTTGGAATTCTGAAAAAGTTTATTAGGAGATTGTATTTTAGTGGAATGCTGAGTTGTGGTCGAATATGATTTTTTTTAAAATTTCATCTTAACTCTTATGGGTACATACTTAGTTTGGGTATTAATTGTTCATGAATTTAACTTGAATGGTATGAAGAATTTTGAGTATGAAACTGTGTTAAGACAAGTTGCATTCTATGAAATTGTATGGATGATATTATAAATGATAATGTTTAAAATTTGATTTGGGAATGCCTTTGAATTGCTTGATAGAAAGGGTGACAGGAGAACTTAGAATTTACGTGACTAATTATGCCTATGTGTATATATAATATTAATTAAGTTTTGTTGCTTGCACTTGACAAGAGTTGGAGAGTTTATCAAACTTGATTATGCCATTAAGTTTCTTTTTATATTAGATAGGGCATTTAGTGGAGGAAGGTTTGATTGGGTTCTAAGAAGTCAATTTAGTACTCAAGCACACTTTAGGTAAGTGGTAGCGTCCAAACTGATTTTTTTTAATCAAATTTTATTTACTAAAATATTATATTTTTTGGAAATTATTTTTATAGCATTAATGCGATTATTGATATTTGTTGATTAACATTACTTTATTTTGAAAATTAGCTTTACTAAATTTAAAATGCTATTTGATCAATTAAATTAAGTTTGAACTTTGATTGTAAAATTTTTATTATCAAATATTGGATAGATACATAGAATGATTCATGCGAGTTCAAAGTTGAATTTTTTTATTCAAATAAATGCAATCATGAGCTTTGGATATGAAATTTGATTCTGGCAAGTTTTAAAGCTTAAAAGCATTCATGCGAGGTTTGATTTTGAGAATGAGAACTGTATCTTGAAAGTGACGATTTTCTTATATGTTTAAAAATGGTTTTTAAAAAGGGACTTTATATAGAAACTAGTTGCTAACGACAGTTCCGTTAGCCTTTAATGCACTATGGTACCCTAGCTAGTAGGGTATTTATAGGAGGTGCTAGCGCCGTGCGATGGCCAACCACGTGGAACGGAGGGATAGTTATTCGTGGACTTTATACCTGCGTTTGATTTCGTGCTTCAAGCCGCGTTTGGTTTAGCATTAACTTCGTGGACTGTGTGTCCACGTTTGTTTCGTGGCTTCAACTGTGTTTAGTTACATATCCTCGTGGACTGTGTGTCTACGTTTGTAAATTGTTCTGATAAGTCCCTATAATTATGAATGCAACCATTTGGATGATTTCATATTCTATTGGTTTTTATTTAATATTTGTTTATAATTTTTATTTCATTTATGTGCTTTCTTGAAATCAAGTGAAATTATCATTTGCTATGACAGTTCAATAATTTGAGATTTATTTAAAATTTTTATAGAGCCATTTTATTATGAGTTTATTAAATTTTTATGAAAATTATTGTCTCTTTAACTT